TTTTAGATGTTTATATTTGTACAATTCTTTGTGATGGGCCCTGGCTTCTAACTGTGTATTTATACTGGCGGGGGCTAACAGGGCCATGCTAACCGGTGAAACCTTAACCCCGTTTGTCCAACACCTCATCATTCAACCATCCATTCACCCAGTCCTCCATCTTCTTCAAGGGTAAATCGTGTCAAGTCACGTTAAATTGAGCCAGATCAGAAATGGCCCAGATTCAAGGTGATTTTTGCTGTACACACTGTCATCCACAGCACATCTGTGTCACATGGGGGAAACAGATTTGGGCCACATTTAACTGCAGAGTGAAAGTAGCCTATGTAACGTGGTGTCTAAGTGGATTTAACTTTTAATGGCGATTCCAGCCTACCAAAACATTTCTCCTTTATGTCCTCTAGTTCTTTTTCAAAGAAGCCGATGGTCAACACACCTCGCATTCATATCACAGAAGGTGTTTGTGATGCTGAATGCAGAATGCTCAGGCCCCAGGGGGCACCGTGAGGCAGCGAGGGTGGCAGCAAGACTTCACCACTCGACCTCCCGCTGTCCGGAGAACAGCTGCGGCGCAGTGTGCTGTACTAACGTCTGTCGGGGCGCAGATGGCGGGCGAGGGTGATACCTCAGAGATGGCAAGCCGGCGATGTACCTTAAGAGAGCAAGCTGGCAGGTACAGGGACGGTGAGCTTAACCCTGCCAGCTGAGTGGGTCGTCAGGAAGTGTGCATCGTGTGCAGCGATGCACACTGCAGAACGGACAGTTACACACCAAAAACAGACTGGATGTTGAAAACCTAGTGTAGGTGAACGCTAATGCCTACAAGCAAATAATGAAAGAAAGAAAGAAAGAAAGAAAGAAAGAAAGAAAGAAAGAAAGAAAGAAAGCTTGACAGTTATGGTTCAGTTCTCAGTTGTTTCTGTAAAAATGTACTTTTCCTGACGTTTTCCATATGTTTCTGCGTGAGAAATCTAAACAGACATAAATGAGAGTACAGAGCTATAAAATGAATGTGGACTTCACCATTAAGAAGAATATGATTAATTTGAAATTTGAAGTTTTGTTGCAGATTTTGGTATTTTGTCAAGCCAAACTGAGACTTTGTTGAGATCTTCTCTAAAACTTGCAAGATGATTAATTTAATTTAATTTAATTTTCTTTAATTTAATGTTCTTTTATTTTATTTTATTTTATTTTATTTTATTTTATTTTAATCTTATCTTATCTTATCTTATCTTATCTCTGGTGATGGTGGTGATGTTATGGAGAAACAAATGAAGCCAGACTGAAGATGAAGCCAGAATAAAATTTAATTGATCAGAGATTGGTCTTTCAAAGTTTAGGCTTTATGAAGTTCTCTGTTATAACTAAAAAGTAAATAGGCTATTGGTCTATACTTTTAAATTATAGCATAGATTGTCCTAAAAACAGATGTTTCTTCTGAACTTAATGTGGATAAATTAAGTTACTTAAGATTAGTATTAATTAACATTATTTTAAGATTATTTTTTAACTTTAGAGAGGACATGTGAGAGATAACTGGAGTTTAATTCTCAGAAGAAAAATATGTGAACCATGTTTTATCTCCATTTAATGTCACTGCTGTCTAGAATAAACAACTGAGAGATTAAAATAAGTAATTTGTATTTTTATTTTATGGGCAGGTCTGAAATAAAGGTAAGCAGTCCCAATTTTATTTGAGTTCAATTAACATGGAAGGTAGTGGGAATAGAGAGGAACATAGAGTCAAAATAAGTTACATTGTCTTTTACACAACAAAGGACAGAATGTGATCTTTATTTTAAATATTAAACGACTTGTTCAGTACAGTCTCAAACAAGCTGGTTTGGTCTTGAAAAGATGTTCTTCAAAGTAAACTCCTTTAAAAACTTCTTTCAACGACATTGTAGACTGTTGTTTTCTACTCAACTGGATGTGTTGTCCTGTTGCTCAGAGACTCTTCTTTAAAAACAGAACCAGTGAGAGTTTACCAGTTACTAATGATGAGTCTTTAAACATGCTTTTAGCAGAAACACCGCCGGATTCAATTTAGCAGTTACGCAAGTCATACACACTGGAGATATGAAACAACATAAAACGAGCTGTAAACTTCAGATGACTGCAGTGAATTAACAAAATAGTACATGCAAAGCAGAGAGAAATAGGGAGATAGGGGAGAGGATAGAGAAAGCTTCATCCCCATCTATTATATTTGTTTAAATATTGATCTTTTTAGTCCTGTTTAAAGAGGTCATTACATGGATTTTTTTATTATTATTATTTTAATCGTTTTTTATTTTAGTGCCAATAAAGCACACTAAACTGACACTAAAAAGTGAATTTGAGAGAAATGTTGCTTGCATTGTTCTAATAATTATGGTAGGGTTTTAGAAGGGTTTTTGGTTCACAGGAAATGTAATTGCATGCCTGCAATTGGAACTGGATCATTGCTTTAATAACCCACAAATTCTGCCCCATCACCTGCAAACTAAAGGGTCCAGGCTGGGACAAGATGGAAATGAACTTTGTGGACAGGTCAATACCACACCCCCCCCCCCCCCCCCTCCTTTCTCCCCCGTAATCCCTGCAGATTGTCCAACTCCTCTTCCCTGCCTGTAATTACACAATACCCAATATCACCATGCGGATGCCAACAGATGCACCATGTCTAAGACAAGCATTATGGACTTAGAGATGCTTCAGTAATTCGGTCAGCGCAAGGCATGGAGATTATTCTATTGAGGAACGTGTCCAGGTTTTAGGGCGAGCGGCAGAAATGTACAACAGGTGGTCGATTTCAGGGATGAGAGGGGTATTATCAATGAAAGAGAGCATATGCTGTTAATATAAAATATAAGGAGAAACTTCACTGTAATTGTTAAAGATAAATACACAACGTCAGTGATCACAAGTTTTTACTGGATTGTTTTGCATTGAGTTTATTATTTTTAGTTTATATGTTTTATTTTAAGCTTATTGTTTTGGCAGTCAATATTTGTATATTTTTCAAACGATTATGATGACTAAAATGCTATGCAACCCACCATCTCTACACACAAAAGTGTTTGAAGGGGCTGTGTTAAAATGGCAGTGGTGCTGTGAAAGATGGGTGTTGTCTTATAAGGAGACCGGTGCATTTAGCTCTGACTTGGTTGGCTCTGGTTCTCTGTCTTGCCTCTCAAGTCTTGTTCCAATCAGGGTTCGGTGAAGATTAGGAAGCAATGTTCCAGTAAAGGCGATTTGGACAGTAAACAGTTAGCTTGCTCACTCCGATAATCTCCCTCATTCACCGCCACAGTTTGTTAGGTGAGGGAGCGGTATACTATGCCCTCATCTGACTATCAATGGTACTGCAAGACAATAGGCTGAATGTAAAGAGAATTGTGGATATAATACTGCTGCTCGTGCAGCCTATTTTTAATATATATAAGTATCTAATTAAGGTATACAAGCGGCCCCTGCAGACAAAGTGTAATCAATTCTTTTCAATAACTTTTAAACTACTGGTTTATTTTACCAGATGCATTTTAGTCCCTAGTTTAACCTCAAGTCAAGTTAACAGGGTGTCTTACCAAAGTAACTATTAATTATGGACTTTATGTATGATTTTCAAGGGAAACAGTGCACACCTGGAGATGGATAGAGTAGACGGCATTTTAAGCGTTACCGTCGCGTTCCGGTAGCGTTCTCAGCCTATAGCTGCCCCAAACTGCTGTCTAGCAGCCGCAGCACACAAGCTTTTGAGACACAACAGTCGTATTTCCGACTGTATATAACAGTCAAATTTTTTGCATATCTGTCACACATAAAAGATTCAGATCCTCAAACAAATTTTTATATTACACAAAGATAATGCAAGTAAATACAAAATGCCGTTTTTAAATGATTATTTATTTTATTAAGGGAAAAAAGCTGTCCAAACCTGCCTGGCCCTACGTGAAAAAGTAATTGCCCCCTAAATCTAATAACTGGTTGTGCCATGCTTTGCAGCAACAACTGCAATCAAGCGTTTGTGATAACTGGCAATAAGTCTTTCCCATCGCTGTGGAGGAATTTTGACCCACTCTTCTTTGCAGAATTGTTTTAATTCAGCCACATTGGAGGGTTTTCGAGCATGAATAGACTGTTTAAGCATCTCGATCGGATTTAAGTCCGGACTTTGATTTGGCCACTCCAAAACCTTAATTTAGTTTTTCTTGAGCCATTCAGAGGTGGACTTGCTGGTGTGTTTGGTATCATTGTCCTGCTACATAACCCAAGTGCGCTTGAGCTTGAGGTCACAAACTGATGGCCGGACATTCTCCTTCAGGATTTTCTGATAGAGTGCAGAATTCATGCTTCCGTCAATTATGGCATTTAGTCCCTAGTTTAACCTCAAGTCAAGTTAACAGGGTGTCTTACCAAAGTAACTATTAATTATGGACTTTATGTATGATTTTCAAGGGAAACAGTGCACACCTGGAGATGGATAGAGTAGACGGCATTTTAAGCTTTTCCGTCGCGTTCCGGTAGCGTTCTCAGCCTATAGCTGCCCCAAACTGCTGTCTAGCAGCCGCAGCACACAAGCTTTTGAGACACAACAGTCGTATTTCCCTCTCCCGTGCCTCTGGCCCTAGTTTTTTATTTATTACTTTTTTTTTAATTGCATATAAACATACAGTGGTGTGAAAAAGTGTTGGCCCCCTTCCAGTTTTTTAAATTTTTTGCATATCTGTCACACATAAAAGATTCAGATCCTCAAACAAATTTTTATATTACACAAAGATAAAGTACACAAGATTAAAAGTAAAATAAAAAATTAGCCAGAGGAAGAAAGAAAACATAAAATAAATAAATAAAACAACTAAAATAATGAAGACAGTTCAGTTTACTGGTCTATTTCAAATGTGCAGATAATGTTAGAAGTCCTGAGAGCTTTTTTTGTTTTATATTTATATACCATATTACAGTATTGTTTAAATTCGTTAATAAAAACCACCCGATCACTTCATTTTGTGTATATGAAACTTCCCCATTACAACCAGTAATTGAATAATATACGCTTTATCCTTTTCTATCCCATAATCATCAACATATATCATTATATCAGACCCACCCAGTTTAACAGCTGTATTAAGTTTTCTTGTAATGAAATTCTCAACATCAACCCAAAATATCTTTGTATAGATGCAATGAAAAAATAAATGAAAAATGGTTTCTTTTTCATTACTACAAAATTCACAGGAGTATTCAATATTCAATTTAAAACGTTCCAATATATGTTTCACCGGAAAATTCTATGGAATATTTTATACGAAACTTTCTTTACTTTGTTATTAACAAAGAATTTATCAACCATTCTCCAAGCCTTATGCCAATTTAAGTCTCCAAATATTGTTGACCAGAAAAATCTAGCTGGAGGATATGTAACATAATTTACTAAATTTCTAATGTATTTATTTGGTATGTTGTTTTTTAAAATATTAATATTTCCAATAAAAATTTAATTAGTTATATAATCCAGATTAGGGTTTATGTTTATATAAAATATCTCTGTTATTCCAGATATAATATCTTCTAGGGGAAAAGTTATGTTTATAGGCCAGTGTCCAAGCCATGAGAGCTTGTTGATGAAATCTTGCAAGTTTTACTGGAATTTTGTCAATACAATAATTGCATTTGAACAAAAATTCAAGACCACCGACTGACTTAAACAAAAAGTTTGGGAATGTGTTCCACATATTATCTTTATTTTTTAAGTACTGTGTAATCCAATTAATTTTAAATACATTGTTTAGGGTGCCTCTGGCCCTAGTTAAACACTGGAATGTTTGGTTATACTCGTCATATCCGTAATATGCTCTTTCAGGAAGTTATCAACTGAACATTACACACATAGGCTACTTTATATCCCTGCGGCATCTGTCTGGTTCACATACTCTCTGCCGAATATTATTCCCATAACTAATAATGAGAATGGAACTATCAGTGACAGAGTTCTGCACTTTGAAGGAAAGCTGAGTGTTGTCTGTCTGGTCAATGTGAAGTTTGGCGAGATGCGGCTCTACGGGCTTATGCTACTTTCTCTTTCCTTCTGGACGTCCCATTAAGTGTTACCTTTAAAAATGTTTGCGGGGAAGTTCAACGGGTCTGTGTTCAGCTGGACCTCAGGCCTTTGCGAAAGATTGAAAGCGCAGTGGAGAGTGGACTTTCCCTGGCTTCGGATCCAGCTGGGATTGTCGACTTTCTGGACATGATCAATAATTTAAAAGGAGACTCTGGTAGAGGATATTACATGCAGATGGTCATTGGGACTCCGGGACAAACGGTATGTCATTTTTCATCATTTTGATACCTCTAAAAAATATTTTGCCTAAATTATTTAGGCTAAATATTTATCTAGAATATTTTTCAATATTTTGATACTTTTCAATTATTTCATTTTTCCTTTTGTATGAAGTGGCATATTTTGTAATGGGACATTTATTCATTTTGTAACTGTCTCCATTTAAGACAATGCTAATGTTACATCGGAACTTTTAAATATTTAAACTAGATTCTGCATTATTATACAGTGGCCTTAAAAGTATCTGAACATTTAAGTCGCACGAGCAAATTAATGTTGTTGCATTGTCGCGAATTTGAGAGGATCTGACCACCAATAAAATTACTTTGGGAGAGTCAAGTTAGAAAAGTTAAGTTACTATAATTTTGAGAAAACGTGTGATATTTTATATAATGAAATTACATCAAGACATTTGTGTGATTTAAGTGTCCACATACATACATGTGGTTTAACAGTTTTCATATGGTTTGCCCTCCACAGTCTTGTTTAAAGGGGTCATATGATGCTGCTAAAAAGAACATTATTTTGTGTATTTGGTGTAATGAAATGTGTTTATACTGTTTAAGGTTCAATAAACACATTATTTTCCACATACTGTACATTATTGTTTCTCCTCTATGCCCTGCCTTTCTGAAACACGTCGATTTTTACAAAGCTCATTGTTCTAAAAAAGCGAGGTGTGCTGTGATTGGCCAGCTATCCAGTGCATTGTGATTGGCCGAATACCTCAAGCGTGTGACGGAAATGTTACGCCCCTCACCATACTGTGATTATGCCCTGTACGGCCAGAGCGATGATTCAAGAACATGAAAACCCATTATAAAAGAGGCATTCGTTACATCCAGTGGGGACATACTTGTGGATTATAATGACTTATACTGTATTTTTACGCGTTGCGTTGCATCGCGCTACATAAACATAAAACCATGTCTACATTTGTGATTGGAGAAATGACAAACAACAAGCCCTACTCTACACTGCCCAAAAAACTCGCTTTGAATATATAAAATATAAAAACTCTTTAAATATAAAAAACATACTTACAGTCTTTGAGTCCGAACAGCAGGGATTGTAGTCTACTCTACCAAGATCAGGAAACGGTCCTCCATAAAATGTGCTGCACACATCTGAATATTTGGGTTGAAGCGTTCTGGAACAGAATAGTCGTGTCCATTTTTGGAAGGCCAAACAAAGAAGTTTTGCTTTCACAATGTAACACAGCATCACACACGGCGGCCTTGAGTGAGCGGCAGCGGCCTATAGTGAGCAGAAGCCGGGGGCTAGCGTGAGGAACGGCCTGAGGGCTAGAGTGAGCAGAGGTGGTGGATTCGACGAAGGAGCGTCCGGAGGGCTTGCAGCAACCACATGTGACGACCCCGGGCTGGACTCCGCTTCGTCCACGGTGAAAGCCAATCCGGCGATTCACAGCGCAAAGTTGATTTATTTCCTGAGCGACCAGCACGGATCAGCTCCAGGCATGACGAAGCAGATATTGTCCTCTTTTGGAAGGCCAAACAAAGTAGTTTCGCTTTCACAACGAATCACACAGAACCTTCACGACATGGCGAGAATAAAAGTTACGCCTTCTTTCTTTGTGTGAACATTTGGGCGGCGTTATGCAAATCTTCCCACATAGTGATGTAGATATGTGGGGGCATGTTAGAACGAGCCGTTTTAGGTAGGTGTGGCTGACTCTTAACTTTTATAAAGAATATCTCTTTGGGTTTGAGACTTTAGTTTTTGCAACTTTACAGATCTTCTTTATGCACCAAGAGCTTGTAACACTCCGAAGAGAAAGGAAAAATTTAAATCGCATCATATGACCCCTTTAAAACTCAGCTGATTTCTGATCAGCTGTTAAACATCAGAGTAGATGGGTACTGTAGGCTAAGGCTGATCTCAAAGCAATGTTTCTGCTTTTAAAAGCATATCCACTCAAGAAGCATGTGATGTGAAAGTCTCTATGAGATGCCTTGGGCGCAGGATGGAGACCAAAGAGCCCTTGATCTTTGTGCTGAGAATATGTAAGAGCCAACTCACATGGGTTCACATGACAGTGGGCCCCTCGATGAGAGCAGCTGACTCAGATTAGGGCCTGAAGCAGATGCGTGTGTCCACTTCTCTGTAAAGGCTTTATGGTTAGTTGGTATTGCCGTTATCAATTTCTCTTTCTTATAAAAAAAATTGTTTAATTAATATTAGATGTGTTTAAAAAATGTGTTGTATGTGTAGATGGCAGAATAGTTGAGGTGAATATTACAATTTATTGATCAGACTGTACTATCTGTCTCGCACAGTTTATTTTCACAAAATTATTAAAAGTGGAGTCTAACCTGACTAGTATTGTGTAACATGGGTGAAAATATAATCTCTTGTAATCATTCAATACAATTGATTTTTTACTAAATGAAACTGTGAAATATGAAATCTGGCCACAATTTGGTTAATAATTTGTAGGGATGTGCCCAAAGCCAAATACCTTTTGAATTGAATTCAGAAAGGCACTGATAAGGCTTCAAAGTTAATAACGAAATCTACCGAATAGAGAAAATATTCGGCCTAGACAGTCACTCCTTATGTTTGCTGATTAGCAGATGAGCCAGGGATAGCACAATATTAGTGATGCAACTGACAGATTGCTGTAGACGCATCATCTCTTCTTTTTTACTACTAGTTGTAGCACAAAATAAACATGAATGAACACCAGAAGTTAGCATATTTGAGTTAGCATATTTGTATTAAAAACTATGAACAGTACAGAATGACATTTAAAACGGCTTCTCATCTAATTTGAATATCTTCCGTTTTTAAGCCTGCATTCGGTTTTTTAAGGCGAATGCAGATACAAATAATTTTGAGATTGATACAGATTATGATTCATAAGAACTTTCATAAATATGCTGAAGAATGTATACACATGTACCTGCAATTCCAAGAATCTGTACATCTAAAAATTAGCCAATATATATATATAAATAAATAAATATATATATTTTTATATATATATATATATATATATATATATATATATATATATATATAAAATATATATATATTTTTAATGTATTATACAAAGGGAAAAGTTTTTAAATGTGTTTTAAATAGGCCTATAAATGCAAATATCACAAATTATTAATTCATAAATATCATTAGGCCTACACTTTTAGGAGCTGCACAACATGACATTTTACAACCTGAACTAACCAATTAACCTTGTCTGCATGTTGGTTGCACTACAGGACTTTGATTTGGCGCACAAAAGTTTTTCATATATTAATAATCAAATCAGTGAAGCAGTTTTGTTAAATTTGTTAAACAAATAATAATAAAAGATTATGCCATATTACTTTTCTTTTCAAGAATTTCATTCTTTTAATGAGGCTTTTTATTTTATCATGTTGTCGAGAGTTGAATCACCTTGACTTTTTTCCAAAAACATTCAAATGCATTTTTATTCAGCTTTGTTGAAATCCCTGATGCCAAAAATGAAGGGTTCAACCAAAGCAAACACCATTACCTAAATTCTGTTTGAGAGTCATTGTCAGGTAGAAGCATTTTGGCCCCCTGCTACAACTGTAATTGCATTCCTCTTTCTGTATAAATCAAGCTTGAATGTAAGTGATCATGATTCATCACATGGTGTGTCTCTCTGGAAATATTATAATGAAATCTGCTGTGTCATTGAACATCATGTTTATTCTCTCATCTCATCACAATTGAATGAGCAAGGTGAACTGCGAGAGGCCAGGATCTTCCCGCATCCTCTGCGAATATGTAATTAAGGGTACTCATGTTAATTGAGGCGCTCTCTCTAAACGAGCCACTAATTGCAGAATCTGTCGCATGTGCGGAGGCATCGGACTGGAGTGGCTCACATCTGCTAATTGGTACAAACAGGTAGCAGATGCGCTCCCAGTGACAGAGCGCCTGCCAATTAGCTAAGCCACCTCGATAGGGGTGATTAGAGCCGCTTCACCAGTAGAGGAGCCATGGGAGCGCAGTGAGGAATATACGGGGAGAAACAAGAACAGAGAAGACGCCAGATTCCCAGAACCAAAAGAAGTAGGCTATGTGTGTGCCAGGGCCCTGTCGCGGACCGACTCAATGTTTACTGGAAGTAGCCAGCAGTCATGACTGTAGCATGGCTCGATTTTTCATGCCAGACAGGAAGTGGCAGGAACATTGCCAATGTGAGGAAAGTGTCCTTAATGTATCCTACAAACTTAGTAGTGGAAAGGCAATCGTCACTGTTACCAGAGACATAATGCCCATTCAATACGAGGGGGAATACTATTTTTATATTTAATACGATCACACCGGTGTGATTAGAACATTCAGTGCAGCACATCACCAGCTGCTAAAATCAAATCTGCATTCGCTTTTTGGCTGGTGCTGAGCCAGACACAGACGCGTTTTTACAGCTATCCAGCATTATAACCAATCACACATGATTCTGTTGAGCTTATGAATGCAATGGCCAATTAGAGGCATTCAGATGAGTCATCGCTGAAACGCCGGTGTTTTGTTCAGTGTGCGCGCTCGCTGACTGAATTGCGCTCTCTGGTGAATTATTTCTCATCAGAAACAACAAAGTGCAGATGTGCGAACGATGTAAGAAGGTTATTCATTTCACAGTGGAATTTTTGAGAGTGCTTGAACTCTGGCTAGACTGAAGTCATTGATAATGTTCTTTGATGGCTAATGTAAATGTTCTGTAACTTACATTTACATTTAGTCATTTAGCAGACGCTTTTATCCAAAGCGACTTACAAATGAGGACAATAGAAGCAATCAAAACTAACAAAAGAGCAACGATATGTAAGTGCATATGACAAGTCTCGGTTAGCCTAACGCAGTACACGTAGCAAGGTATATAGCCTCTCTCTCTCTCTCTCTCTCTCTCTATATATATATATATATATATATACACACACACAAACACAAGTAGATAGAACAAGTAGAAACAAGTAGATATAATAGAA